CTCATCTCCCCTCCTTTCCTTTCTGATGCAAACAAACCATTAAAAAAATTTTTTTGAGATGACTGGGGATGTCTGAGTATAGACTGTGTATGATTTGATCAAGGAGTTATTGGTTCAACCTCAGTAATCAGGAAACTATATTTTAAAACTGCAGTGAAGTGGGCTGGGGATGCAGGTCAGTGGTGGATGTAACATGTGTCAGGAGCCCTAGGATTGATCTCAGCACTTCACCTCCCCCCAAAAATCAAACTGCTGCTGAGATACTGTGTTAGATAGTGCTAAGTGTTACTGGGTATGGAAAAGTAAAATGGGTAGTTAGACATTTCTTATGAGGGTAAATTAGTAAAAACTTTGTCTTTCTCCATTAACAGGCAAGTGAAAGACCAGAACAAGAAGGTAGCCAATCTGAAGCACAAGGAGCAGGTGGAGAAGAAGAAGAGTGCGCAGATGCTCGAGGAGGCCCGGCGAAGGGAAGACAATCTCAACGACAGTTCCCAGCAGCTACAGGTCAGCGGCCTTGGAGTCTGAAGGATTGGGTGAAGAGCTCTGATCTTTGATCGCATGTTGTTTTCTCTTCATCTTTGTCCTCTTTCTTTTTTCTCTTTCTAACCCTGCTTGCTGCCTTCCTCTTGCACCAACTATTTAGCAAAAAAAGAATAGCTTTAAATAGAAAAGGCAAGTTTTATTCCACAGCTTTGTGAGGATGCCTCAGCATAGGAGGAATCACCTTTCTTCAAGTTGATCACACTTGCTTGGTAAGTTTATTGTCAGTTTAATGAGTGGGTTATAATAAGCTTCAGGGTCATCAGTATAATTCTGCCAGTTCCGTTCACTGAAGTGTGGTTGTAATTTTGATTTGTGTCCGTCTTTTCTTTTTCCCTCTTTTGTTTGCTACCACTTTTCCTTCTGCTTGTTTTTCTTTCCCTTTCTTTCTTTCTTTTTCTTTCTTTCTTTCTTTTTCTTTCTTTCTTTCTTTGTCTCTCTCTTTCTCTCTCTCTTTCTTTCTTTCTTTCTTTCTCTTTCTTTCTCTTTCTTTCTTTCTTTTTCTTTCTTTTTCTTTCTTGAGATAGGGTCTCCCTGTAGCCCCAGCTGTCCTGGAACTCACTATGTAGACCAGGCTGGCCTTGAACTCACAGAGATCCGCCTGCCTCTGCCTCCTGAGTGCTGGGATTAAAGGTGTGTACCACCACTCCTGGCCTCTTTTCTTTTTTAAAAACACAATTTAGAAATATTTCACACTCATATAGGCCTTTTTTCCCCCTCGATGGAATAATAATTGATGTATAAATCTAATTAGTCACAAATTAAACCAGGCCCAATCACAGTAGCAACAGCTATAATGGTCAGTGCCAATTACCTTTTCAGTATTTGAGTTAGGCCTAAAGCATTAGGGGAATTCAGATCAGAAGTACTAATGTATTTTTGTAATGCACATAGCTTTCTAACTGGCTTGTCCATGGTTTTAATAGGATCTTCTGTGTCTGTAGTTGTATAGTTGGGCCTCTTTTTTTCTTGGATATAATACTTTGGAAAGAAGATTTCGGTTTTAGAGAATGCCACAGTTGTGCTGGGTCATCTGCACGTCCTGTGAAGACAGCTAAACTGCTGCCACCTTGTTTCTCTTTCCTTTCATCTTCTACTTGAGTGTGACAGTGTGCACGCCACAGTTGCTTAATTACAAAATCTTGACTGGACAGATGTGGAAGAGTTATTGTCTAGAGGCTGTCCTCTCCCCATGTGTATATCTTTTGGGGAGGGGGATCTTTTTGAGACAGGCTCTCTCTGTAGTCCCAGCTGGCCCAGAACTCACCATGTAGACCCCACGAGCCTTGAACTCACAGAGATCCACCTGCCTCTGCCTCCCAAGTACTGGAATTAAAGCCATGCACTTGGCTGTCTAGCTTATTTTTACATTCCTTTTTTATATATCTTTTACTCATGATACTCCTTGTGGAAAAAATATTATTTCCGCAAGTATACCAACTTTTGAAAGAAAAAAAAGCACCATATCTGTTTTCTCTTGTTAAAACTTCATGTTGGCAATTTTCTCTTCTTTTTGTACCTCTTTCTTTTTTAAAAAATGTGAATCTGTTTGGATTTATATTTCTCTGATTACCAATGACAATGAGTAGTTCAAAATAAAATTTTTATTTAAACTGTCCATTGATGTATTTCCTTAGCACTTGCACTTTACTTTGCCATTTCCTCAGAACTAATATCTCAGAAAATGAAACAGTTTAAAAGTATTACGTCTTGGGGTTGGGGATTTAGCTCAGTGGTAGAATGCTTGCCTAGCAAGCGCAAGACCCTGGGTTCAGTCCTCACAAAAAGTATTACATCTTATGCCAGAATTAATATGTGTTATGAATCTTAGGCCTTTTTCCTATGCCATTTCCAGATTTGCAGTTCTCATATTTTCAAGTTCTCCATATTATACACATTCTAAAACCCTGGTCTTTCATTTGTCTAAAATTTTAATTACCTAGCAAAGTAACAAGTTTTCTTGTAGTGTTTGCATACATCGTTTTGGTTGAACATACCTACAGACACATACATTCCTCTGCCCCATCTCCCTTTTCTCCATCCCTTCTTGTACCCTTCTACCCCTTTCCACTTTCATGTCACATGCATTTTGTTGCACTACCTACTCCCCTTTCTTAAAGCCCCCCCCACCCCCCGTATCCAGCCTCCTTTTAGTTTCTTGACCTTCAATGTGATCCTATCGATTTAACTATTCTGAGATTGGGCACAGATCCTAAAGCCATGACGATACAGCATGGCTGTTATTAGAATCCGTGTACCTTCACCTGTTTATATCATTCTAGCGTATTAGATAAAAGTGTATTCATTTTCTTATACATCATATGATGTCTTTTATTTATTTATTTTAAATTTACTGGATTCTAAGTATTAGGCACTTGTGTTAATCTTTGATTATATGATAGGAAAAAAGAAAGAAAATTGGACCTACTTATAGGAAGTAGGTTCTGGGGCAGGGGTGTGTCCTGGAAGGTTGTTTGTTTGGCCTGCCCCCTGCTCTCTTTGTACTTCCTGGGTACCACAGGTAAGCAGCCTTCCTCTACCATCCCCTTCTACCAACTGCCTCACCATATATCTAGAAACATGGAGCAAAATGATCATCAACTAAATTATTTTAAAACTTGAAACAAAATAAATGTTTCCTCATTTAAGTTGACTTTCTTACGTATTTTCTAATAGCAATGAAAAGAACATGCGATGCTTTCATATGATACTTATGAGAGAGGCTCCCAACATTGGAATTTAGCTAATGTCAGTTTCCACATACCAGTTACTGTAACTGGAGTTATTATAACTGTACTATAACATATCTTTTGAAATATTCAGCACCAAAAAGTTATAATAAGCATATCTACTATTCATAGAGAGGAGAGGCCCTTTCTTATTACATCCATGTCTGCACAGCCCCCAACCCAATGACTATTCCATAATATTTTAACTCAGTGACTATTTACCAAAGAAAACTACAGACTAATTTAAAATTTGAATTACCCAATTTAAGGCAAACTATGGTCTGGAGAAAAGATTAATGAAACAACTTTAGAACTGAATTTAATTAACAGAAAGCTTATTTCTTATCTAAGAGAAATGGAAGAGTTGATAAAAGAACATAATAGGAAATACTCCTAACTAATATGTACCTGACTGTCTCTATTACTCAAGTCTTGTATTAGTATTGACTGGAATTAGTAAAACAGTTTAATGTTACAGACAATGCAAAAAAACTTTACACAATCATGGTATAGTCTTGGAACAGCTTTTCTGTGGAAATATATATTTAAGATTATGCAACAGTGCTTCCAAGTGACAATGAATTTTGATGAATGTACAACAGGATAATGACCAAGCAGGAATCTGAATCTATGAAACTGTATTGTCACTCTCTCTCCCTCCCTCCCTCCCTCCCCCTCTCTCTCCCTCCCTTGCGTGTGTGTGTGGGGTTGTATGTGTAGTGTATGTACGTGTGTTTGGTATATGCACACCTGTGTGAGTGTGTTTGAAAACCAGAATAGGATGTCACTGCTCTTCACCTTATTTTTTGAGACTGGATCTCTCACTGAACTTGAAGCTTGCCATTTTGACTAGGCCTTCTAGCCAGTGAGCTCATGGGATCCACCTGTCTCCACACCCCAGTGCTGGGGTTACAAGCATGCACAACTATGCCTGGCTTATTTTGGGTTCTGAGAATTTAAACTCAGGCTGTCAGAATTTTGTGATATCTCTTTCTAGGAGACAGGTTCTTCCACTGGATGGCACTAGCCTTTTCCTTCTCTCAGTGTGAGATTCCTAGGAAAATTCCAAATTCTTTGAGACCCATTATTTAAATAGTGTGATAGCCAAAGAGAGGGACACAATTGTGTAAGAGCTTCTTGATTCCTGATAGAATGGTTACAGTTATAATTAATAGTCTGGGAGGTGCTTGTGAAGTTTTAAAGTGAAAAAGAAAGACTTTAAAGTGTAACCCAAAGCATTTCTTTAAAATTTAGTGGGTGCATAATGAATTTCTCTGTTAGGTTAGCCTATAATAAATTAATTAGCAATACTCAGGATAGAGGGCAAGAGAAAGGCAGAGAGAGTTAAGAGTTTACAATAGAATTCGAGCTTCACTAATGAACATTTGAGATACAATAAATATATTACTAACTAATGAAAAAAATTTAGTGGGTGCATAATGAATTTCTCTGTTAGGTTAGCTTCTTTTCTTTACATTGATTTCATCCATGCATCTGGTTTTAAGTTTTTTCCCCATTAAACATTTTAAAGATTGGCAAATGAGTTTTAACATGCTGAATGGTTTTAATGAAATTATTGAGACAGGGAATGGGGAAGTGGAAGACAGAATAAGCAGTGCGGTTGAAGTAATAATTACTGTCTCTTCATGTAAGATTAATAGATGGAAAGTAACATTATTATTATCTTTCAGAACCTGTTAAAGTTTATCTGGTAAGTGGTATTTATTCCAGGTAGAAATGGTTCTTAATACTAACTCAAGTGAATGACCTCCATTACCATGTCAGAGTTGGAGACAGGAGAGAGTATGGGAGAGACTGTGTTGCAATGCTGGTAGAGTTTTTATGGAAAAAGCATGTGTCAGGAAGCTCCCAAGGCTAGACCTGCCCACCTGTCCCCAATATTCCAGTTAGATATAAATAATATGTATAAACAGGAAACATAGATATCACCTTAACAGGTATAAGAAATTGTTAGTTAATTCTTTAGCCAGATGTGAGTGATCATGGGCTAGGAACACAAATTCAGGTTGCTCCAAATAACATGTTCCTCTGTGGAAGTAGCTGTGTGAACTTTTACTAGCTATAGAACAAAAAGTCATCTCATTTGCCAAGTATTGATGAGGACCATAGGTATCTGGTTTATAGCAAAGCAGGGAAACTGCTATAGATTTCAGATTCTGTCTGATGACATTCTTAGCTTTTGGATTGGTAGAAGCTAGTTGTCTCCTAAGAATG